CTTGAGTTTTAATCTATAAATATAATAATAATGTTAATAATGTTAAAAACATGATTTTTTATAAATTAATTTATAATATATTTTATATTACCTGATAAATTAAATGATAAACATTCCACCATCCGTCAAAATTTTTCTAGGATTAATTGTAATACGAGCTTTATGCGGGATTGTTTTATCTATATCACTTCTATTTAACTTTAATCTTCCAATAGTTTCTGTTAAGAAATCACTGACATTAATAGAGCGTCCTTGTCCCTTTTTACGTAATAGTTATTCATTTTTAGGTCTCTAACCCGATTTTTGTCCATCATTTGATTGAAAAGTTGTTTCATCATGTGTTACAAGAATGCGTAATTTTTGTCCACTTTCTAATTCTGGATCAATCCTAATTTCAAGCTCATCACCAATAAATTTTGGCATTAATTTTTGATAGCTATAATATAAAAAAATGTTAATAATATAAATAAATAAAATATTGAATATAATAAGAAAATAAAATATTTACCTTTTCATAGTCTCAAGAAATTCTTTTCGATAAGCAACAACATCATCTCTCTCATGACCATCAATATATATTCCTTTTGTATATTGACTAAAAATAAATCCCATTTTCTTTAACCATCGAATTGCTGTGGATTTGCTATAAAATATAAAGATTTTTAGTAAAATATGTATTAAATAAAATAATTTATAAAATATAAATACAATAAAACAAATACCTGATTTTAGTTTTTTCTTCTATACTAATAGAAGGTAAAATTTCATTGGCAATATAATCACAAAAACTGTAAACGGTAATATCAAATTTATGTTGTTATAAGTATGATATTACTTTTAATTGAACATCTTCATCGTCAATAATACTTTCTCTAAGATATTTTTTACGATTACTATTAGAAACATCACCATATTCAATAAATGCTTTAGTCCAACTTCTAACACAACGAGCAAACCATATTCCTCGATTTAATAGGTCTGCAACAATCTGATTTGCTTCTAACTTTGCGTGCCCTTTGTTAAGGAGTTGTAAATAATTTTGAACGGCTATAAGTCGCAAATTATATCCTGGAGTTAAATGTTCACTTTCAAGTTTTAGTTTATTTTCAATTCTATTAATTAATGCATTTTTATTAGCATTATCAGATTTAGAACCACCACCAGAACCACTAAAAGAACCACTACCGGAGGAACCACCAGAAGAACCACTACTGGAAAAACTACCAGAAGAACCATCACCGGAGGAACCACCATCAAAATTATTGTTAGAAGAACCACCACCAGTATTATTTTTATTATTTAATAATTGATAGAGTGTTTGCCCATTTTTCTTTTGATTTTCTATTGCTTGGAATTTTTTTCGGTATTTTGTTGTTCATAAGTTTCCTATATTTACTAATGGACGTTTGGAATGTTTTAATGCTTTCATATTTTTAGTTAAAACTAAAAAAAGCTGTTCTGCCTCATTCTCATCGGTCCATCCAACTTCATCATCTATGCTAACTTCATCATTCGAACCTAAATTGTCATTGGAATAAGTATTGTCATTATTTTTCGCAGTTTGAAGTTCTCTTTTCTTTGCTATCTTTCAACACTGTTGAGTTCGTCGTTTTAAGCGCTCCATTAGTGAGAAAAAAAAAATAGATCAGTTGATCGACATACGCATGTAATCTAAACTATTTACGTAAGTGACCTACATTAAGCATAATTCCGGCCGGAGTTATATGTTTCAAATCTGTTTCCGCTTAAGAAAATACCTAAACTTTATCAGTTAATAACTTTTGATCTAGATTTCTGATTGGAGTAATTTCAACGTCATTTTATAACACCAGTCAATATCAATTGAACTACGTTGAAATATTCTAAATATAGGCACTAAAAAATTTTTATTTCATTTTTAAGTTCGATAAATTTATTGGATGGCTTATTGTGACACAAACCGTACTCATTAAGCATTTTCTCACGCTAGGCTACTTCATTGGTCGTATACTACATCACCATATATAACCATGTCTTGACTGTTAAATTTTGAGATACTAGTTACACAATTATTACATATTGTCACACTTTCCCTGATCATATGCCATTAAAATGACTAATAGGAAATTGATTTATGAAAAAAAAATTTGATTATTGCTCAAAATGATGTACAAAATGTGAAATCTCTATGTAACAATAAGCAATGAAATAAATTGAAGGTGTAGTAACATTTGTATGCATGAAGGATTTCAGATATCTCTACTATTCTCAGTAGATATTCAAAAATAAAATGAATATTTTATATGGCAAGCCAGGCTGGTCAAAAAGGTCAACTTTATGCTGACATTCTTGTCAGCTCATGGTTGACATTTTGTCTTATAAACAAATAATTTAAATGTATAAATATTTTATAGGGTATACATTTGTCTTTACAATAAAGTTACGAAACTTTTATTTATATTAAAAATTAAGTTATCTTACAATATCTTTTTAATGCTTTTCCCTTAATTTTTAAACCAAATTTTAAATATTTGAATGCAAATAACTTTATTTAAAGTTATATTATTGATCCTTGTGCGATTTTTATCTTAAAATATAGAATTAGTAAAGCTGTGCATCTAATTTAATAAAAAAGAATAATGAGAACATATTGCATTAATCGTCTAATCAATCGTTAATTGAATAATGATTGAATCGAATTCTTCACTATTGAATTTTTACGTGGTAAATATTATTTTCTTCACTCGTAAATAACTCAAATTCTATATTTTCTCTGTTGTAGATTCTTTCTAAAATTAGATCAATAGGTACAACACCAGACGAACTTACGCTTTCTGAGGCATATTGATAAATTCCTTAAAGGAGACTATCTTGATCGAAGACTAGAGCACCAGAGTCTCCTAGAGCACCTACTCAAATATTAAAAAAGTCAGATCAATTGAAAAGAGAATTACTAATCCCTGGCTTGAGATTTTGATATTTGTGATATTCATCACTAGCTGTTGATGCTCTCATAGTTCCATAATCAATCAGCACTGGAAAATTCTTAAACTCAGCTGGCAAGTTATGAACCATTGTTCTTCTCGACAGATTTACTGTGACGATAATATATGCTTTTCCGTCAACCATTCCTGGAAATGTAAAAGATAATGGAACCTTCTTTACATAATTTTCTATTAGATCACGTGATGCATCATCGATTTGATTAAAAGATCATCGTTTTCAACAAAATGAACCTTACGACTTCTGGAACTATAGTAGACATTTTACATTATTATTAAATCATTTTATTTTAAAATGTAATGACATTTAATCATACCGATGTTCTTGAATGCAAATTTTAATCGTTGCAATCCAGTTACATAAAAATTCATATGTGATTCAATTGATAACTTCTGACTGAGTTTGTTGAGCCTTTAGATAATGTCATCGAAATCTTTAGATATAAAATCAACGATCTTTGGGTTGTCTACTTTGACTTTTAGGAGTGATATACAGTCAACTCTTGTTATAACGAACTCTATGTCCTAGACCTCAACTTCGCTATAAGGCTATAGTGAAGATTTTAAGAGATTTGATTGGCCAATTCGCTATAACAAGAGTATTTTTATTATATTTGTTCAAAAAATTCGTTATAACAAGAGTTCGCTATAACAAGAGTTGACTGTATAGTCTAATTCCTTCTCATCAATTGCTATAGAAGCACCAAGTTCTTCATCTTGCTCTTCAATCCTACCCAAATGATAAATGAGTTTACTTTACAATGTGAATGATTTAAGAATTAAAATAACGCAAACATACGTCATTCCTGCTGTATTTGTTGTATCTTCTAAATCTGAGTCATCAATGTCTCTCTCTAGAATATATTGATAAAGGTACTCTTTAATAGTTTTCCTTGCACTTTTTTCTTCGCTCTTTTCTAAAAAATTTGTATTATCTATGTATGGGTGACACCTTTTTATGTACGCACTGACATTTTTTATTAGCTTTTTCCCAATGTATTTATTTACCTCACATTCTGGTATTTTCTTAATCTCTTCATAAAGAAGCGCCTTGATTGTTGTGTGTCCTCCAGTTGGGTCTTTTTTAATAGCATTATTCTGGTATGCACTGTAACAAAGGGAACTAGTTGTACGTTAAAACCCATTATCTCAATTATCAAATTTATTACTTACCATACAGATTTGGCTGTTTTCTTTCTTGACAACATAATGTCTATTATATACTAACTAATTTTGACTTGTAACTACGCGAGTAAATCATACGTGTCAAACTGAATTTCATGTGACGTGTGGCGCAGGCTGGTCAATATAATTTTGATATAAATATTTGATCTACTCTGTTTATAACTAAATAGATTATAGAAGCATTATAAACTCACTAACTTTAACCAAAATAAATAATTTTAATTTTATTATTTAAAGTTTTGACTAATAGAATAGAAGTTAATACAGTCAACTCTTGTTATAGCGAACTCTTGTTATAACGAATTTTTTGAACAAATATAATAAAAATACTCTTGTTATAGCGAATTGGCCAATCAAATCTCTTAAAATCTTCACTATAGCCTTATAGCGAAGTTGAGGTCTAGGACATAGAGTTCGTTATAACAAGAGTTGACTGTATTTATTTATAGACAATAAAATCAATTATTGATTAATAATCGGTTATATAATATATACCATTAAATTTTTTTTTTCTTTTTTCTTTTTATATTTAGAAAAAAAGATCACGTATATACAGTTAATTATTAAATCAATAAATTTTTGTAATATTTGGTTTATTATAATTAAAAAAAAGAATGTATAAATTTATCTATATATATAAATAAATAAAATAAATAAATAAATAATAAAAACCAAATAATGAACGATTCGTTGTATATAAATGTAAATCTACATATATACCAATAAATAATAAATAAATAATAAATAATTCCATTATATATCCAAAAAACCTCTCCAAGAACCTATGTATATACATATTGAATATGCATCTATGTTTGGAAAAAAAAATTATATTCGCCAGGAATATAATATATTATTCTAAACTTTTATTATAATCTAAAATTATTAGCCGAATTCTTGTCATTGGGTTTAGGTCCTTCCATAGACCAGAATGAAGTGAGGGTTTCAACATCATCATCAGGTATGAAAACACTCAATCCACTTACAGGACCTTTAGGATTTATTGATAATTCAGATTTACCAAAAAGTTCTGGACGAGTTGTTTGTGTCGGAATTATAGGACTATGTTGTAGTGATTTAGAATAATTATGATTTTCTAAAATATTTTGGGAAGGTTTCGTATGACCATAGTATGATGTTTGAGATGATTTTGAATAATTATAGGAATCTTGAGAAGAATTATTATTATACCTTTCTTGCGGAATTTTTGAATAATTATTTATACGCTGTGAAGGTCGGGGAATAGATGTATTAAAAGATTGTTTTGAAGTATTGTCTGTTTTTTGAGAAGTCCTAGATCTTAATGTATCTTCAGATGATTTTGATAGGAGTGGTTTATAAATTTGTGGGGGTTTCAATAAATTATTTTGATCTATACTACTACGATTACTATTATTATTACTATTATTCTTCAAGTCCGCACGTGAATGTGCGAGAATTTGACGCCTGCGTTCTTCTCTAAATTCAGGGAAATCTAATAACCTACTGCAATAAATTGCATCCGGGTGCGTTCGATCATTTGACACATTATTAAACGAGATCGTTGATCCACCTTTCCGCAAAAATTCATCCAGTGAATCATTTACCAACCAGTGATAAACAGTTTTTAATACTTCAGGTGCATCGGGTCGTTCATTTGGATTATGATGCCAACATTTTTTCATAAGTTCGGAATAAAAGGAAGGTGTTCCAGGTGGAACAGGTGGTCTTTTCCCTTTACATATATCTTTTGCCATATTGATATCATGTGCTGTACCAGCATAAGGTCTCATTCCAGAACAAATTTCCCACATTATAATACCAAAGCTGTAGATGTCAACCTTCTTTGAGGATCCTATCCCTCTAAAAAGTTCCGGTGCAACATAAGGAAGAACTCCATAAACCGCTTTTTTGCGTATGTTACGATTGGCCGGTCCACAAAGTCCAACGTCTCCAATGACAAAATGTGATTTATCAATATTCATTATATTACCGCTATGTAAATTTCCATGAATCAAATCTTTCTTATGCATCTCAGCAAGTCCACGAGCGATTTGCTTGAGAATTCGAATCTTGTCTTTCCAACTTGAAACACGATTACGCTGAAGGTGTAATCTCAAATCTCCAAATGATGCATATTGTAACACTATCATGAATTCCCCAGTGATTGGATATTGTGTAATACCATAACAACGTAAAAATTGTGGTTGAGAGAATAAACCCCAATGCGTCTTTATCTTGAAAAAAAAAAAAAAAATTTTATTAGATATTGAAATAATGAATGTAGTAAAAATTTAGTTTCGAATATTTACCTCATTTAAATAATCACTACTAAGATCTTGTGAATCCTTCAAACACTTTAACGCTACGGTTTGACCGGATTTATTCCACATGGCTTCGAATATTGAAGAGAATCCACCTTGTGTGATTAATCTGGAGCCCACAAATTCATCGTATGGAATCCAATTTAAATTATGAGAAGGATATGGAAATTCCAGTCGAATTTCTTGAATAAGTTCGTCAATTGGTTTATATCCACTACGCCAATCTCTACGAGGTTGCCCTGTACTTGCTCTGTTTGGGGGTGACATCACAAATGGTGGAGTGAATTTATTTGTATCATTTTCATCATTATTATTAAATGTCTTAATATTATTGTTATTATAATAATTTGTTGTGTCTATTGTACTAATATCATTGGATGTTGCAACACTTGGATTAACTTTATCATTTTGTGGTATTTTGGAGGGTCGTGTTGTACGTCCCCTTGATTTTTTATGTTTTTTAAGGAAGACTCTACGAAATATTCTCCTGAAATAAATAAACATTAATAAAATTTTTTATTTATTTTAATTTTTTTTATAAAAAATAATGATAAGTACCACAATAGGTAAGGAAAAAAATAAAAAAAAAAAAAAAAAAAGCAAAAAAAATGTCGGTTAGCTGGTTATTTATAAACAAAATGATATCAAAATTGAGATGATAAAAAAAATTTTTTTTTTACTTACTGAATAATCGAGTTAGATGAAGTCATTGGAAAATGATAATAAAAATTCACTCAACAAGATTGTAAAAGGGGAATATTTATGGATATATAAAAAAAAAAAAATAAATTTTGAAACGTAAGGGGAAAACAAACATAAACCAGATGTTAAACAAGTTTGCATTTGCATTTTGTATCGGGTTCTCCTTCTTGTGAACAAATCCATCTGACCAGATAAAGTTTAGTCTTATTCATGTTGTCATCTTTAAAATGAGAATTTCGCAATATTTCCATTTTCGTATTTATACAATTTAGTTTAACTTGGCATGTCAATGAAGACTACAACCTATCAACAATGAAGAGGGCTAAGGCCACGAATAGGGTTCAATTTCAATATTACCATTTATTTATTTAAAGGGATAATTGGTAATTGTTGAAACTATTATTATTTTATTATATATTTAACTTCTAATCCTATAAATAATAAATCACAATAACATTGTGAACATCAATTTCCAGATTTAGCATAACTTAATTACAGTTACAAACAAATGCATCAATATAATATATACTGTATATGATCGACCCATTTTTACTTATTTGTTAAATTTTTTTTTTTGTTTTTCGTAAAGAAGTGTTACCTTTCCTCCGTTATATACGTTTCAAGGAATGATCACGAGTGTCCGAACCAACACCAACACGTAACCAAAAACATAGTAAATTCATTAATACTCGCCACCACCTCTATCCCCGACACCACCACTACCACCAGCACCACCACGACTGATATTTCCAAGTTGTTGTCTCCTCTGAGCGTCCAGCTTTGGACATTCAGCGATACGATGCCCGAGACCGCCACAAAATGTACAACCTGTGGAATTTTACTTTTATTAGCATGATGTTATTTGATATAAAAAAAGAGTGGATTTGTAATCATACCTCCACACAAGTCTTTGAATTTTTCTGTTGGATCCTCCAAAACTTCTAATACAGGGGGAACTCGTTGTTTGGCTTCCCGCAGTAAATGTTTTAAATCAAGCAATATCTGCTCAGAACAATTCATATTAATAAATGTTGTGGCCACACCTGTCTTCCCTGAACGACCAGTACGACCAATTCTATGTACTAAATTATTATTAATGTTATGTTTACGAAATTATAATATTAAAGAACTTTTTCACCGCAAATAAATACCATAATTTTCAATTTCCTTTGGCATATCATAGTTGATAACATGTTGAATATCCGGAAAATCTAAACCTTTTGAAGCAACATCAGAAGCAACCAAAACATCTTTCTTGTATTCTTTAAATGCTCGTATAGCAAATTCACGTTCCTCTTGACCTAATTCATATGAATGTATGAGATAGTTTTTCAAAATGATCCATTAAATAATTATAAATATCGTGTTACAAACTTTATACATACTCTTGCCTCCGTGGATAGCTACAGCCTCAACTCCTTTTACCAATAGATATTCGTGAATATCATCCACATCATTTTTATTCTCTGCAAAAATAAGTACCTAAAAAAAGCGCAAAGATAAAATATCAATATGTAATCTAAAATAAAAAAAATCATGATACTAATCATAAATGACTTGGAAATAGTTACAGGTGGTGGTGTCTTTTGCAAACATTCTAAGAGATACACAATCTTTGCTTCCTGCTTCACATATTCTACTTCTTGAATAACATCCAAATTGGCAGCGCCCGCACGACCAACATTGACAATCACAGGTTTGACTAACGCGGATCGTGCAAAATCCTGAATTTTCTTTGGCATGGTGGCTGAATATAGTAAGGTTTGGCGTTGACTCTAATTCGAATTAATTAATGTAATTATCATTAAATATTAAAAAAAAAAAAAAAAGTACAAAAGATTGTAATAATCTTACCGTAAAATAAGACATAATATTTCTAACATCATCCTCAAAACCCATATCAATCATCCTATCAGCCTCGTCCAAACACAAATATCTAGAATCACAAATCTTAATTAGAAAAGATTATCCATCAAACGTGGGACCCCATAGCAAAAGGGGATGTGCAGGTCAATCAGGTTTCGAGATTTCATGATGTACATATGCTCACAATCTAACCTTTCAGAGAATATTTAATTCCGATCGTAAATAGGACGTGAGTTTTGAAAATAAAAAAATTTTGCTGCTTTCTCATCGTAAAAATGGGGGCGCATTTCAACAAATCTGTAGTTGCTTTTTTCTTATTGAATTTAAAATCTACAGTGATCTTCAAAAATCGATCACGTGATTTAGATTGATTTTTTCGACAAAAGAAATAATCGTTGCCATCCCCCTTTGCTTGCGAGAGGTCCCAAGTATAACAAGTTACATTATGAACGTACTTGCACAGATCCAGGTTAAATTTCTTCTTTTCTAGCATGTCCATCAATCTTCCGGGAGTCGCAACCACAATATGTATTCCTTCTGCTAAGATATTCTGTTGATCCGACATAGATATACCACCGATACATAACAAAGGTCGCAACTTTGGAAAATCATCTCTAACTAAAAAGTCTATCATTGAGCAGATCCCTTCATGAGTTTGTCTTGCCAATTCACGCTGATAAAAAACTTTTTTTGTTAATAATCAAAGACAATATTGTATTAATAATAAATAAATAAATATAATAATTGCTAACCGATGGACAAACAATCATTCCGATTGGACCTTCTCCTCTAATCAATGGTAATTTGCATTCTTCTTCCAAAGCAAACATCACCAATGGTAGAGAAAAAGCCAAGGTTTTCCCAGATCCTGTAAATGCAATTCCAATCATGTCTCTTCCAGCCAACCTGAAACAAGTAATAAAAGAAAAGTCAACATTTTTATAAAGACAAAATATATGGATATTATCATTAAATTTTTCTTACACAACAGGAAGACCTTGAACTTGAATAGGTGTGGGTCGATGAATTTTTTTAGATTTCAAGTATTTCAACATAGCGGAAGGAAATTTCATATCCTAATGGAAAGTTTAGTAACGATCTTTGATTTATGAGAGGTAAAGTATTAAGATGTGTATATCAAAGACGTACCCTAAAATGCTTTATGGGTGGAGGAACATCTTCACCTTCAACAAGGATATGATATCTCTGACGAATTGCATCATGGACAGATTGAGGTCTCTCACGAATATGACGAGGCGTGTGCCAACTGAATTAGAATGAACCATTAATAGAAAGCTAACGTGAATAAATACTTGATTCAAAATGCACTTACGTCGTCTTCATTGGTTCAGTATAAATAATTCCTTTCGCAAGTTCTCGATCTGACGCCAAAAGCTTTCGTTGAGCGACAGCTTCCATAATAGCTCTTTCCTCCTCGAGTTTTTTTTCAGAATCAGTTTTGAAAGAATCTAAAGAAGAAAAAAATTTAGTTCAATCAAAAGTATCGATCAAAGTCATTATAAAAAGATGAAAGGATTCATTTACCCTCTATCATTTTTTGCTTTTTGACCTCCACAGCCTGATCAATCAAACTAACGTTAGCCTTAGGACCAGCTTTAACCGATTCTTCAATTTCATCGTCAACTTCACTGTCTTTTTGCGATTCGGGAAGACGCCTTTGACTAGCAAGCTTTTGAAGCTTTACTTCTCTTCTTTGCTTAATTGGAACATAAGGAACATAATTGTCTTCTTCGAGATCTAAAGCTTTTTTTCTTTTGAGTGAGTTGGTTTCCGTCATTTTCCAATTTTTTTTGACATAAATTACTGTAACATTTACAATCAATTTTTATTTATTTTTAATTCATTACCAATTTTCCCAATTCTGGCCGAAATCATGAAGATCTATCCAAGAACCCAACTTTTGGAACTACAACTATTTTAATGAATTTCTTCTTTTTACGGTTAGTCTTTTTTTTTTTTTTTTAATAAACCAATTTTTTATTTAAAAAAAAAGTTATAAACCATTTTTTTTAAAAAAAAAATTGTAAACCATGTTTTTTTAAAGAAAAATTTCAACATATAATAAGCCTTCAGGTTATATTAAAATGATTTTATTCTAATATACCATAAAAATTTGAACCGAAAGCGAATATTAGCGTTAGGCCAAGTATAAATTGATAATTAATGAATTGCGAGATTTAAAAATATCCGTTCAATTGCAACCAACAACTATGTAATTAACGAGATATATTTAGCAAAAATAAATTCATATCTTTTAAATTTTCAAACTGACGATTGATTATGAATATGGATTATGGTATTCGTTTGATTAATTTAGCACACAATATCAATTTTGCAATGCCCGAGGATAAGTGACACTTTTTTAGGATACTTGGGTGAAAAATAATTCAAATCTTTACAGTATGAACATGTATATATTTCATTTCTGGTTTTTCTTAAAATTCGTATTGTTCAAATTTATTTGAGTATTGTTTCATTTTTCCCAAAAATTCATGAAAGGGCAACAGGTGTTACGAAAAAATCATATTTGAAATGAATGTTTAGTATTGTTTAATTTTCCGGAAATCATAAAAAAAAAATTCTTACGAAAAAGTCGGTTTGATTCAATTGAGCAATTTTGAATTAATCATGAAAAATTTGTATATATATAGAAGCATTAAAATCATTAAACTCTGGCCTTCACGATTAAATAAAAATAAAATAAAATAGTAAAAGATAAAGATGCATACCACTACGTTCGAATTCAACTATTTCCTTTCGGCCACAATAATAATGATTTTGGTAAATTCATTTTTTTTATTAAAACAAAAATAAATAAAACATTCAAGTATTTATTGAGTTCTTTCCTACGTATTTTTTTTTTTTTACAATAGGTATTCATACATAACCTCGTGAAATCCACACTGACATTTTACGCATATAATTCTAAAATAACAAGTTTCATTCGAATCATTTTCAATACCTTTGGACTGACATTAGGCATATCGAATATAGTTGTACTTGCGATGAGGAATACCTCTTCATTATCAATATGTGCGTCTGTCATATATTCTCAAATAATGACGGATTTCGCTTTTGTGATATCTTTCTTCATTTTCATGATTTGGAACCTGAAGTTAATTAAGAAATCGGATTTCATTTTATATGGATTAATTTTAACAAGAAGTGTATTATATGCAAGTTAAATCATCTCGATAATCCTATTCTTGTAAACAAATTCATATTTTTTTTTTGAATTTAACGAATGATCGTTATTTATTTTTATTTATTTTTTTTTTTTTAATAGATCACACATGCTGCATTCATTCGTCCACAGATAATATTAGACCACGATACATCATGCGATAAAGTTTTAAATCACGGGAAGATATTTCTGATGGTTGCAACGATAGCCGATCTTCTGATAGACGTTTATTTCGCATTTCGTTTAATCCAACATGTTAGAGGAAAGCAAAGTTCAACCAAAGACGAAAAACCTTATACGTTTTGTCACGTACGGAACGCTTTACTAGTGTCGATAGCATTCGCACTACATTTAAGCAATATAATCTTAAGTACCGAATTTGTGTATCCAATCATTGGTTTCACAATTCAAACCATCCTTTTCATTATCTTATCATGCTTGGTAACCTATAACGTAGAAAATTCCCAAAGTTCAAGTGATTTAGAAAATGAAATTAAAAATCATGAGCATGTTCATGTTACCTTGAGAATATCAACAAATTGACCTTTTCAAGAAGGGTTAATTTTTTGCATTCTTGAGAGAGTTTTTATTTATTTATTTATTTTTATGGATCATTAAGCAATTAAAGATATTAAGATTAGTTTATCTAAATAAACAATGATAAATAGATAGTTGCGCGGTTTTAAATATTTTTTTAATTGAAAGTGTAGGAAAAATCATCACAAATTTGTGTGAAAATCGTTTCATGTTCGCACAATGTAAAATATAACAATTTCTTTGAAACTTAAAACATTGAAACTTCTATTATTGTAAATTTAACTAAGAGTATTTATTATAAACAAATAGTATAATCATGAACATTATCAAATAAATTAATTTAAGCATTAAGACTATTTACAAATATTTATCCACCACTTCAAACATGAGAGCTTTTCTTCTTGCTCTGAACGATCTAAGACCTTGTGAAATTTTCTCACCGACAGTTGATTCCACCTCCGAAAAAAACAAGAGCAACGACCACTTGATATCTCCCATAAAAGTATGCCGGTGCTGTAAACGTCACTCTTGCACACCAAAACTTTTTGGATCAATATAGGGTCTAAAGTCCATCTTTAGACCCCTCGTCTATACCTCTAGACTGTTTGAACGATGACTTGCCAGTTACCGGCTTTTGATAGGTTACAGGCACGTTCTTGATGTCGAGTTTACCAAACACCATATTCTTATGATATAGGTTTTTAATTTTTTGCGGTGATAATCTTTTTTTTTTTAAAAAAAAAAAAAATTAAAAAATTAAATTTGGTTAGTCAAATATTTCCGCAAGTGAAAGAAGTGAAAGTTGTTTTTGAATGTTACGAGTGTATCATAAGTAGCATAGTACTATCACCTCAAAAAGTGAAAAATGGACAACAAGTACTCTTCTAGACTCATTATATACCTTTTGGTATTAAACATTCAGTATGAAATTGAAGGAAAACTTACTTGATGACCGTCAAAGCAGACTCTTTTTTATACCCATTTTCCTTCATCGTTGAGCTACGATATATATTTATATTAGCACTTGCAGCACGAAGTTAAGAAATAATTTGAAAGAGTTGAAGAAATTCAAAGAGTAAAAAAAAAAAAAATAATAATAAGGGCTTGAGGGCTTGAAATTGAAAAGAGAATATTTAGAAATGAAAAAAAAAAAAAAAAGAAAAGGTAATTTAATAATAACGGTGTAACCACCACATGACCTTATGGGACTCTGAAAAAATTTTTTTTTCTGTTAAGAACGATGACAAACATTCTTATAGTAAAAAAATTTTATATTAAAAAAATTATATTTGTTTAATAAGGGATACGACGAAACCCTTCCGATACGACAAAAGCGAAACTGACGAAATTTTATTGAGAAGATTTCGGCAAGCATCTATAATTAAAAGAAAAATAAAAGCTTAATTTTTGAGATGATGTTAACTATCCATAAAAAAGCAGAAAGAAGAACATTTAACAAAAATAACTCAAAAGATCTAGTTCTGTGTACTCGATCGATTCTTCGTCGAGTTTTTTACTTCATCATACCAAAAAGAATCTTTCGATATTTAGGCTTATTCTTATCTTGAAGAGCTCGATGACAGGATCGAAAGTTCGATTCCTTCAAACATCCACGACTTTTTAACGAAATTTTCAATCAGAATTTAACAGTGACCAGCTTCAATAATCTCAAAAATATATCCTTCCATCTGTTTAAAGAGAGCTTCTTACAATAGGAATTTATCATTTCTTTCTTAAATGTAGTGATATAGTGAAGTGAGGGAAGTGAATTATTCGTAGGTGGTTGCGAAATTCTTTTTCTTCTTCTTCTCTGCCGTATATATTTATAATAGATAAAAATGTAATTTTTTTCGAAGAACGATTTGAGAACTTTGCAATAGAAAGGTGAGAAAAATAAAAAGAATTAAATCATATTTGGCATATAAAAGTAAAATTGATTTTTTTGGCAGTTTCCCCCCTTTCTATTGCAAAAGTCCCATTTCTTAACTTTTAAACTGTTTAATTAAATTTTTCTATTAATAAAACTAATCGAATTGTTAATAAAGTAATTATTTATGTAAAAAGTTGATTAATTAGATTAATTGAACATTCGACGTCAGTTAATAATAATATACACAACATAAATTTGATAAAGGTTTCTAGTAGAACACAGATCGACGATAAAAGAAAGCGTATTTAAAACTGTTCTTATATAACTTGTCTCATTATTGGTCGTCGATTGAATTTGTTAAGTTTTTATACTTTCACTTAAATTTAAAGACAGTTCATGTGTTAATGTGGTTTTTTTTTATGTAGATTTTAAAATAAGAAAGAGAATAAAAAAAACAAAATAAAAAAAAACATGATTAAATTAATTTGTTTACAATATGTCTTCGTGTACATGTTTATTGTAAATAATATAAAACGTTTACTTTAAAGGTGTAATGAACCTTTATTTTATATATATTATATATATATAGTATAAAAAAAAAAATTTTGATTCTATAACATAAGGCAGTAGAAAGGAGAAAACTACAAAAAAAAATAGAATTTTCGAAATCTGAATATATTTTACTTTAAAAATTATTAACATAGTTTCTCCCTAGTACTCATTTGTTTTCTAAGAAAAAAAAAAAAAAAAAAAATTTGTCTTTCTCTCTAAAAAAGCTTATAACCTAAATTATTTTTCATTTTAAGGGATTTTTTTGTCCGAGTTGTTTCATCCTTCCTTCCTCCCATGTAACTTCCTTTTGGTTTGTGTGACATTTTGTAAAACATTTTTCACTAACCCTGTTTCTTTGATAGCCGTTTTTCAAGTAATAATAATCATTCTAAGCTAAAATCAATAAAGAATTTTCTTTAAAAGAAATATATAAAAAAAATCTCATCTAAAAAAATTTACTTTTATTTTATAAACATATTTGTATAATAAGAAGATTAAAAATTATATTTTTAATATTATCTATAAGATTATAAATTTTTATAAAATATTTCTGATGTTTAAAATTATCAAATAAAAAATTTAAAAGGAATATTATTAAAATATTATTTAAATATTTTATATAATATAAATAAAAGGAATTTAAAAAAAAAAAAAATTTTTTTTTTATTAAACTTAAACCTATTTTATTAAGAAAATTATTTAATATAAAATATTTAAATAATAAAAATATATTTAGTGATTTTATATATATATCTACTTAATAAAATTATATTAAAATTTTAGTTTATAAATTCAACTAATAAATATAAAAAATAATTATTAAAAAAATTAAAATCAGAAAATCAAAATATTATAATTAATAATATTAATAATATTTTAAGAATTATTATTTATAATTGTTATTGAATAACTAATTTCATATTGATTCTATTTCCTTACTATAAACATCCAGTCATAGTATTTAATGCTATGTTTTTGCAAAGTAATTCCTAATCCTATAAATGAAAGATAAATTATCAATTAAAATAGATTCACAATAACATTCTTAAATCAATATTAAAATTGGCAAAATAATAATTAGAATCGTAAATTTTATGATGAAAAATTTGTTATGTTTATGGATGGAATAATAAGTTATTGATATACATAATGAGTAAAACGTGAGATGAACGTGATTTTTAAGATACATAGGAAAGACATGAATAAATACGTTATTCGATATTAACATTATCCCATGGTTTACTAATTTCAATCAAGTTCAATAGGAAAAATAATAAATGAAAATTAATACTTTATATATGCAACACATTCTTTATTGGCATAAATCTAACTAACTCTAATCCTAACCCTAACCCTAACCTAAAACTTAACAAAAACCTAACCAAAATCTTTAAATTTAAAATGAAACTTTATAAAAGTATTTATTATAAACAAATAGTATAATCATGAAATTATCAAAAGTTAATCTAAGCATTAAGACTATTACAGCTATTAAACTAATAATATACAACAACGAAAAAAAAAAGTTACAAATTTTTTAGATGTGAAATCTCTCAGCCAAACTCGTGTCGTATGGTCCACCTTCAATAAAAAGGAGCACGATCACTTGATATCTCCCATAAAAGTACACCAACACTGTAAACATCACTCTTTTCACATCTCATCATCAACAACTCACTAGATAATGAGCTTTTCTGAAATATTTTCTAGCACCCAGTCAATAGATTTAGATAAATTATAATCTACCGCAAATACGTTCTCGACGTAGAGTTTATAAAACCATAGGTTAATAATTCTTTGTGGTAATAACCTTTTATTTTTTTAAAAATAATAAAATAAATAAATAAAATAAAATAGGTTAGATAAAATTCAAATATTTCCGCATGTGAAGGACATGAAATAAAAGTTCACTTCAAAAGTGAAAAATGGACAGAGAATTATATAAGCAAGTCAAGAGGATAATCTCACAAGAAAGTAGTACTCTTCTACTCATTATATACAGTTTGGTATTAAACATTCAGAATGAAATTTAAATGAAACTTACTCGATGACCGTCAAAAGCAGGCACTTTTTTATAACTCTGTTGTTCATCATCTTTAAAGCTACGATGTATGTTCATACACTCAAACAGTTAGCACTCGCAATTGAAGTTAGCAAAGAGTTAAAAAGAGTTGAAAGAAGTTCAGAAAATTGATGTTTGAAGACTTTGAAGTTTGGGTACGTGAATAAAAAAAAAAAAAAGGAGATTATTTTAGAGAGGATAATATATCAGTGTAACTTTTTTTGTAGCTGGGATTTTTTTGCTCATCACATGTTTCAGCTTATTGCGACTACACATTATTTTCATTTATTTATAAAATATTTTCGTAAAAAAAAAAAAATTTTTCTTGATTAAAAAATTATATTTATTTATTATTGATAAGAAAAGGTTGTGATTTAAGAAATGAATAAAACTTAATTTTTGGGATGATGCTAACTATCAATTAACAAAGTGAAAGAAAGAAAGATCAAAAGATCTAGCTCCGTGTACTCGATTGATTCTTCTTCAGAGAAAGGTCGCACCGTATGCCGAGTTTTTAACTGACAGTGACCAGCGGTTATCACATCCTTAGGAATCACTCATTGAATAGTGACCAGCTTCAATAATCTCAAAGATATCTCGAACTTTCCATTTGTTTAAAGAGAGCTTCTTACATTACATAGGATTTTATCATTTCTTTCTTAGATGATGTGGTGATGTAGTAAAGTGAAAATCTTAATTATTATTTTATTGATATTGTCCAAAAATGTTTAAGGAACCACCATAGAAATCATCTATGAGAGGATCTTTCGTTAACGGTTGCGGTGGTAAGGAAGCGATACGCTTCAACGTATCATGATTCTTTTGATATTCTTTTTTCCTCCTATTTTGCCGCCTTAAATTAATTTGGATTTTGGCCATCACTTATATAACAAATGTAAATGGTTTTTTTTTTTTTTTTTTGATTTTTTATTTCTTTGATATAATTTTTTTTTTTGAATTTTCTTTAAACTTTGATTGCAGTAATGATCACTACTCTGAAAAAAAAAAAACTCGACTGCAAAAAATCATTCTTTTTATAAACATTTTATCTACTATAAATCTCTTTATTTCTTTTAACTCTGTAATATAAACCCAGTTGTAATAGAATATTTAACTTTTCAATAAAGTAATAATTTATTTATACACGTTTAAATAGGTCAAATATATTTAATATATATAACGATATGCAAAGATTAATTGACCAACATAACAACAGTATATCAACAATAGAAAATCCAATTGTAAATTATTTTTTTTTTTAAAAAAAAAGTACTTTAAGATTAATCCGATTAATAGTTTTTTTACAAGTATCCCTTTATTTTAATTTAAAGGACGTGGTTCATTTTTGTTCTATTTTATGTCATGATTTGGGAAAAAGTTTTTTTTTATATTAACTGAAATGACTCACTCGTACAAATAAAAAGTTGTGAAAATTTTTTCCTCTAAAATTTATAACCATATATATTTTGTATATTTGAACCTTTCATAGATATCTTAAAAAAAGTTTTAAAGTAACGATAATTTTTACTATGTTGTGTGATATTCTAATAAAAAAAAAAAAAAAGACAAACCCTCGGAAGATTAAATTATAGTTTAATATATCAAAAAAATTATCGACTTTTGGAAGGTTAAATTATAGTTTAACATATCATAGACTTCTTTTGGAAAATTTTTTTTTTTTTGGTCATCACAACCATCACACGCATCCTTTCGGTCTATCAAAAAAAAAAAAAAAAAAAAAATGAATGAATATTATTTTCTTAATTTATTCATATGATTTTTTTGGGTTTATTAATTTACCTGGCTGTTATAATTGAGATTAGTTAGGGTTAAGGTTGATTTGTCACTGGTGTGAGACCCATTTATACTGTATATGGGTAAAAATTATGTCACTATATTCGGAATAATGATCTGAACGTAACGATTATGTTTTTTCTTTCAAACATTCTAAAGTGCGAAATCTCTATAATAGGAACTTAGAAAAATTTTATTAAAATTTAATCCACTGATTGTATTTTAATCAAATAAAAAAAAATGTTTTAAATTTGTAAAAATGAATCAATTTATAAAAGTTTTTTCTTTCAATTTTGTAAATTATGTAGCGCTGTGCAACATATATATGAGCCAATCAGAAACTAGAATTAAAAATCGAATGAAATAATTTATTTTATTTTATTTTATTATTTCATTATTAAATTGCATCAGATACATGATGATAAAACTTATATTTTTTAGTTGCAACTCTGCCATTTTTCTAGTATTAACTTTTCTATAAATATTTATAAATCACCATGATTTTTGTGCATATTTTTGAATTGTAATTAAAAGAACTGAATCTAATGCTTTAGAAAAAATTTATTATAATCCAACCTAAATGATAAAAAAATCATTCTTATAAATTTGTCATCACATATTTTTTCAATTTCAGTATTTATAATTAATTTTAAATAAATATAACCTGGTATAACTTTATTAATATTGAAGATATTGAAATTCTAATCCAAGATTCTTAAAGCATAAGTCATAGTTTATTTATTTTATGGATTAAATCTTCAATTTTATATATTAAAATTTTTTTTTGCATTTTAAATTTGTTCTATTTTTACTATAACAAAGTTCCTATTATAGAATTTCTACACTGTATATCAAGTTTTACAATTTTTTATCAATCTGCATAATGATCACATGATTGAAATATTATTAATTCATTTTAATATATTATATTTTTATAACATAAATACTGTTTTTACTTTTCACTTATTATTATAATAATAAGTTTATTTCACAAGTAACAGATAGCTATTTTGGCAACACATAAATAATCTTTCTCACCATATGTATAATATTTTTATTTCAAAAATACATTAGGTGAATCTAAATCCTATTTTTTCACTCACTATCTCAATACTTGACATATTTTTCATAATTATTGTATGAGTATTGATTGATATAATAAATATATTTAATTATGCATAATATTTTTAGCTAAGTTATTTGGTGATATTATTAATTTATAGCTAATTTAAATAAGATTATATATTCTATTAATCTAAATTCATTTTTATTTGATTATACATCCTTGTTAAAGAACTTTATAGTATAAAATTTTTAATTAGTGATTGACGTTGTGTTAAAAATGGGCAGTGATTGATATATAAAAACTATGAGACTATAATGCATATCACAATCTCAAAATTTAGTATCTTTTATATAAAGTATAATTTATATCTTGCATAAATGATCTATGCAATAATAGATTTTTCATATATAGGTAAAACTCATTTTAGTAAATCTCGTTATAGTGAATTTGATTTATAGTGAACTTTTTTATTTTTAAAATCACTCTATAATAAAATTTTATTTATTATAGTGAATTTTTTAATAAAATTTCAATATTAAATAAAGTAAATTTATTAAAAATTTAGAGATAGAGCATATATTATAAAATTTATGCTTATTATAGTAAAATTATCTTTTTAAAAATAAATTTAAAGATCACTAAGTCAGGTTTTTTTAAATAAACACCATTTATTATAATATAATATTAAATTTTTTTTTGTTTCTTTATTCTTAAATATCACAGATAGAAAAGGTAAAGGAAAGAGATAAAAAAAACAGCAAAAGAAAAAGTTTATCATATGTAGAAAAAAGGAATTATATGAATGAAAAAAGGATAATCTATCATATAACTAAGATGATCTTGCTAACAAATTCAATATATTAAAGGCGTAAGTTTATAAATACTAAAGAAAAGGATAAATAATTGTCTATCAATACTTTAAATAAAAAATTTAATAATTAAAAATGAGATAGAGGTGTTAAGTTTTAGAAATTGAATCTGTAATATATTTGTAAATACAACAAGTATTAGCTTTGAACTTAACTTTTTCAAGAGATATGTTAAAAACTAAAGCTTTAAACTTTGTAACTAGTTTACAAATAACAACTTTTATTGCTTCAGATAGATGATTATCAAAATTTAAAAAATGTTATAATATTAGACAAATAAATAAAGCTAGTGAGGCAAATAGTATACCTTTAGAAATATTAGAAGAAGAATGTAATATTTTGCAAAAAATTATCAAGTAATACAATTTTATGATATTTATAACATTAATGAAACAGGTAAATACAAATTGAAGTTATATAGTATAAAATTTATGACTATTGATTAAAATTTAATATTATAATTTTAGTTTTATTCTAGAATTCAGAACTATTAAAAACTCTTTTAGATCAATATATTGCCAGTACTAAAAATCAAAAAATCATATTACAGTTGTTTTAACTTGTAATGTTAATGAAAGTCATAAATTATCTGGTATAATAATATATAATTAGCAGATCTCACATATTTTAAAAGGAATTAAAAAGAATAATTTACCTGTTTAGTATTATTAGAATCATACTGCTTAAATGTAAGTATCAGTATAATATGATTATTTAATTAAACTTAATCAAATAATAAGACAGCAAAATTATAATATTTTATTATTAGCAGATAATATACCTATACATTTAATAGATAAAAATATTCAATTATCAAATATTAATATATATTTTCTCCTTTCAAATACAACTTTTCATTTACAATCTTTAGATGCTGATATTATCAATAGTTTTAAAGCAAAAATAATAATTAGTATTAATTTTTTTTTAATAATTTACTTATTAATTATTATACATAAATTTTAGGCTCAATACAAAAAATTGTTAATTACAAATAGAGTAAAAGCATATGATTTATTTTAAAAAGACAACTTTAAAATACTACTAATTGATATTCTTGATGCTTTAACATTTGTGAGTGAAGCATGGAAAATTGTAAAGTTAAATACAATTAAAAATTGTTAAAAAAAACAGGTATTTTATCTGATTCTGAAGAAAATGATTCTGATCAAGATTAAAAAACCATTATTGATGATATTGATAAAATTACTTCAAAATTATGAAATATAATTAACATTTTAAATTTACAAGATCTTATTACAGCTAAAAGTTTATCTATATTGATAATGAAATACTAATAGAACTATTAATGGATGAAAAAATTATAGCTGCAGTAGCTTTAAGTCCTGAAAATAATAATATAAAAGAAGATGATGAATTGGAAATAAATATTATTACCAATAAAGAAGCTTTGAATAGTCTAGAGAAGGTGATTCAAAAATTTAAAAATCTGTCTGATAATATTACAATTAATTATGCAAAGATGAAAATTCTTAATATTTTAAAATCAAAAATTAATAAGCAAATTCAAAATGTTATATTTACTTTAACAGTAATAAAAGTTTCAAAAAAAAATCGCATTATAAAGAAATTTTTTTATTCATGTAATATTCATCATAAAGAGATTTTTCATTTTAGTGAATATTTGTTATAGTGAACAAAATTGGCTGGAAGTTAAAGTTTATTATAATAAGCTTTGACTATATATACTTGATATTTCTCTCTAAAATTTTTTTTTTATTTGTATTACTCTTTCATTACTTTTTTAATCACACAAGTTATATTATTTAACGTTACAGATTCCTTTACTAATATTCTTAT